GATTAGCTATCTTCCTTACTTGTAAATGTTATCTGATAGATACACAGATTAGCTTTTTTCTTCCTCGTACATCTGTGTAAGAGATTTGCATGCCACTAGTCTTGAGGTAGCTCTCACCTAATTTTACTTGTTTTAATGTGAACTGCATTGGTGCAAGACGTCATCACGTGACAAAAGCCATCCACCAATAGGAGGGCAACACAGCCTCCATACTCAGTAACTCCCCCCTATGCATTTGCAATAACTTCCTTCTTTGATGAGACAAGGGGAAAAAAATGTACACCAGAAGTGTGGAAAATTGGTTGGAATGTGTGTGAAGATAATTGTCAGAAATAATTTTAGGAAAATGTTAACTTCTGAGATGATAACTCACATCTGCAAACAGATTAGCTAGAATCCCACATTGGAAAGGTTAAGGGGCAAAATATTACACAGATAAGCTCCCTTCATAAAGCAAGCAAAAGAAGCCCATGCAATGTGACACCTGACACCAGAGGCTCCGTAAGGGCACATCTTTGTCCAGAATACCAGAGGGGAAGAGGCAAAGAAGTCTCATGTGTGGCAACATTGCTTTCTTACTTTTTTTGTGATCCCTATTTGTAGATTATAAGTTCTCAATTTTTAATTATCTTATACATTGGCTTTTTAAATGCACAGCAATGGGCAAGTATATGCCTAAAGTAAGACACAAACCCCACTAAGCGTGTATAAAATGTTACCAGTAGAAAAGCAGCCTTTTCAAATAAAACAAATACATCCCTTTAAATAAAGCTTTGAATCTTTTAAAGTAATTTTTACTGAGCCAGGTGGCTTTGTGCCTGAGGTTTCGTGTAAACACACATTTAACATGTGTTGTCGATTAAAAAAAGCAGCTGCTAAGATCAACATTACATCTCTTATATATTTATAAACATGTAAATCAACTTTCAATGAAAAATAATCAACTTTTAAATAGGTCATGGACATTCGCATCACTTCATATAGTACATCTATTTCAGTTTTGGGGCAAAATAAGCAACTGATTTTGCTGTAAATTTGTGAAACAATAATATTAATAATATGAACAAATGAGCAAATTTTGACTTTGTCTACACTTGAAATCGCTTAATATTTTATTATTAGTGTTCGGCTGGTCTTAGCTGTTGAAAAGGAAGGTTTTGAGTATTCTTTAAAGAATAAGTCTGCTTTATAAGGTGGATTTTTCCCAAATGTTCTATTAGAGTTTTGAGCAAATTCCTGTGTGGTCCCTATTACAGGCCACTATCATGGTTTACAATAGTTACATATAGTGTGTGCTCACCTTGACTCTACTGAACAGACTCTGGCTGCTAGAGGAGGTCACATTAGTGATTTGTTATGGTTTTGTACAGTGAGTACTCACCTCAACTGAACAGATTCTAGCCACAAGACAGAGGCAAAAGTGGTAAGAGCTATCATTTAGAGGGGTGATCCACACTACAATGACAGTGTCACCTCTTCCCCACTTATCACCATATTGTGCCAAGCCCAGCTGGTGAAGATTCTCCATGGCCCACAAGGTTTGCGAGTTTGGTGAAGAAATTGAGAAGAACAAAGGAGCATAACAGAATGGGGAGTACAGGGAAAGAAACACCTTGTGGTACCATGAACAAGGCCACCCAATAACCAGCAAAGACAGAGACTAAAATACCATGGATAAACAGTCTGGTAAAAATGGTAGTTCACAGTAGCAGTAAAGAAGTACTTGACGATAGAGAAACACTGTGAAATGGTGACAGGAATGTGTTGAGAAGAATGGCACAGGATTGGAAATTCTGGCCCAATGGGTAACAAATTGAACAAATCCTACACGTGAAGAAGGAAGGAAGATATCCCATGACGAAAAATGGATATGTGAGGGGGAAGAAAGAGAGAGAGAAAACTGAGGGGGGGAGGCATGTGATAAACAAAGAAGCAGAGGGATTCAAGGCTGAGCTGGCCAAAGAGGTGCAAGCCACACATATCAAAGTGAGGACCTGAGGGAGGAGACAAATAGGAGAATAGGCATATAGAAAGAGGTAAGACCAGGCTTAGCTCAGAAAATTGACAACCAGAGCAAAAAAATGAAAAATAGAACAGAAAAGAGAAAGCTCAAAGTAAAGAAGAGTGTTAAAGGCATCCATGAGGGAAGACCCAACCAAGAGCAAAACCCATGAAAGACCTGGGGGTGTAGAGACTACTCCATTGGTAGAATGCAGACTGGCAATAAGTCAAATCTGACGTGGATGGGCTCAGAAATGTAGATCCAATGCCTGAAAGCAAGCAAAGTGTCCTAGAATGGGTGCATCTCAGATGGTTAAAGCAAGAAATGACCATGGAATGGACTGAGTGGAACATGACCAAGTGATTCACCAGTAAGGGCAGGAATAGGAACATGCTTGACAAAAAGCAAGAAGATGGAGCACATTGATGTGGAGTGAATGCTTGTCTTATGCACCAAAGTCAGACTCTCATCCAAAGATGCCTCAATCAGAGAGGAAAGCATCAGTGAAGAGAGAACTAGTTGGAAAGGCAGTGAGGAAACGATGGAAGTAGTATGAGCATGGTCCAGTCACTTTGACAATTCCTCAAGGAGAGGTTCACAAATGAGGACAACAGAACCAAAGAAAGAAAACCCTTGGATCTGCAAGGTCTACCATAGGAGGTACATGTACGCATTCCCCAAAGGAATGAGGGGTTCCAGGAAAGCCAGAGTCCCCAGAAGCAAAAGAACCTCATGTGCAGGAAGAAAATAATAAATGCAAAACCTGGTGATCAGATACACCATAGCTCACAGGTGAAGAGAAGAAGGCTGAACTTAGCTGAGACAAGACATGAAGAAAATGCTTAAAAAATCCAAATATTGAGTGGGCATGAGTAGTAATAAGAAGGGAGGTGTGAGAAATGGAAACCATCTGAGAATGGGCCAACATAAGTAAATCGTCCAAGAAAAGAAAAACCAGCCGTGGGCCATGAATAAGGCAAGTGAAGGCCCTCAAAACAAGTCAAGAATAAGGCAAGTCAAAAAAAAGAGAAAGGAATGGGAAGATGTGAAACTGATGGACAGAACATAAAATACGTATGAAGGATGAGTCAAAAGTAATGTGTCCAACACAATGACAATGTCCTACTACACACTGAGTGACCACAGACAGGGTCAGAGAGAAGAGAAAAGGAAACGAGAAGACAGAACAAGGTGGAAAAATAAAAAATGACTGTCGGCAGAAAAGGAGACCAACAGCAGAAGAAGCGATGGGTACCCACAGAGTTGTATAAGTCTGACAGTCATTGACAAGAAGTACCATGAAGTAGACTTTTGGTAGAGGGAGGATGAGAAAAAGAGGAAGGCCTGGAACCTGTAATAGGAAGGTTAGGGGTAGACTGATCTAGATGAGGAACAGAAGTAAAGGACAAGGTTGAAAAAGAAGAAAAATCTGGGAAGATAACAAGGACAGAAGTTGTATAACGATAGTCCAGATCACCATAGAGAAATAGAAAACCATAGAAGGTATCTGGATGAAGAAAAGAAGCCCGAAGAATCACACATAAACAAGAAGGAATAAAGAGGAACGTAACCCAACCCAACGAGTCCCAACAACAAGGGAACAAAGTAAGGAGGAATAAAGCTGAAGAAGCGGAATAGGCTAAGCTGGCAAAAAGAAGGGAATGAATGCTTACAGAAAACCAATCTAAAACACAACAAATTGCCTCAGAAAAAAAGGCAGAGTTGGGAAATTGAATGCAGTAGGGCAGTGACAAAAATTCAAAAATGGTGAAACAGAAAGGGAAATAGAAGGTAAGGGGTCTGAGCCTCAAGCTAGCCAAATATATATCAAGGATAGGGTAATGAGAAAATAAAAGGAAGAAAGTCTACAAGTTAAGAGAAAAAGAGTCACGAATACAAGAATGACGAAGCATTAGGGTGTGTGAGACAGAAGCTAAAAGAGAAAGGAAATGTTAAGAATAAGCAAGGAGGAAAGACAAAGTAAATCCCAAGAATTGCAGATCCGAACAAAAAACAATAATAAAGAACAGATGCTAAAAATAAGGAAAGGAACATACCTGAGAATGAAAATCAGAAATAGATTGGAAGGTTAAGGTAATGTCTCAAAATATTATTCCCAATTGAGAGATAGAACTTCAGCCAATGGGCTGGAAGCAGAAGGGCCAGTAAGTGTGTGTTAATTCACAACATGCTCAACAATGGTTGCAGCATCCCCAATGGTTAACAAGCCTTTAGAAGCCATACTAGCAATAAGGCCTGTGTATGAAAAATGTCACTCACACAAGACTAAGTATAAGCCACTATAATTTGAGAATTCACAATAAAATTTTTAAACAAAAGCCAAAGAAAATTAACAGCAAAGTTTTGTTAATAATGCAAATCTCAACAAACTGACTCAAATGAAAAATTTAAACACATCAGATCAATACAATGCCAAGAAGAAGAATGAAGTTATCACAAATGCAAGTGCACAGGGGAATTACTTAGCATGGAGGATGTGTCACCCTTCTATTGGCAGAGGGCTTTTGTTGCATGATGACATCATCATGCACCAATGCAGCTCATGTTAAAACACGTAAAATTAGGTGGAAGTTGTCTCAAGTCTAGTGGCACGTAAATCTCTCACACAGATGTACGAGGAAGATAGCTAATGTTTGTGAGAGGTGAGTTATCACCTCGGAGTAGAAAAATCTGTATTTTAAACAGTTAAATGCATGTGTGTGTACAAACAAACATGGACTAAAAAAGTGTAAACTCCAGTTACAAAAATGTAAAACTTATCAGTTTAAGAACCTAAGAATCAATATTTAGTTCTGGTATGCAATAAAAACTTGAACTCTGTAACAGGTATTTTGAACTGGTGCTTAAAAGTAAAAACTCACAATTTCATTTCAGTAATTTATCTATATATATGAATGATACCCTACATATCAAAATGCACCTGTTCTAAGAGTTGAAGTCCAAAATAAAATTAGTTTCCTAAATCAATGATACAAACCTTTTCACATGAACAATTATTGTTCCCCTTATTCACTAATCCACTCCATGTATCAGCATCTGATGTTAAGAAAACTTTATCTTCTACTTCTGGATTGTCATCATGAATGTAATAGGGTCCAAAAAGATCCCCAAGACCATCTTCGTGGCTGCCTCTGTGACAGAAGGCACATATCCACGTCTTATCTTTAGTAAGGGCATCGTAAGCTGGGGATAGAGTACTCAAATGTCCTACACGGCTTAACCTCACATTAGGATTTCTGTTGACAATGTGCGGTCTATGTTTGACCACTTCCTCTCCAGTGGAAGCTAAGTTGATGACACGAACAGAAAGAGGTCTTTCCTTGGTACCTATAATGTGAACATATGGTCCTAGAGGTAACTTAAATCTTTTTGGTTTTTGTGATGAAATATTTATTACTACTTTATCAACTACTGTTTGTTCATATTTCCTCTTTGTCTTTGCACCTCTTTTATTTTTACGTTTCGCTGATTTCGGTTGGTTTCTTCTTACATTTCTTCTTGTTTTTTGAGTAGCACTCAGAACCACTGGCTTTGGATCAGGACAGTTTGTTTGTCGATTTTCAAATACACAGTTTGTAACTGGTTGTCCTTGTGCTTCACACACAGTGCCAAACCTCTGGTCTGTACTCCTCGTTACATTTAAAGACTTAATGGTTTTATCTTCACACACAGTGCCAAACCTCTGATCTGTACTCCTCGTTACATTTAAAGACTTAACGGTTTTATCTTCACACACAGTGCCAAGCCTCTGATCTGTACTCCTCGTTACATTTAAAGACTTAACGGTTTTATCTTCACACGCAGTGCCAAACCTCTGGTCTGTACTTCTCGTTACATTTAAAGACTTAACGGTTTTATCTTCACACACAGTGCCAAACCTCTGATCTGTACTCCTCGTTACATTTAAAGACTTAACGGTTTTATCTTCACACACAGTGCCAAACCTCTGGTCTGTACTCCTCGTTACATTTAAAGACTTAACAGTTTTATCTTCACACACAGTGCCAAACCTCTGGCCTGTACTCCTCATTACATTTAAAGACTTAACGGTTTTATCTTCACACACAGTGCCAAACCTCTGGTCTGTACTCCTCGTTACATTTAAAGACTTAATGGTTTTATCTTCACACACAGTGCCAAACCTCTGGTCTGTACTCCTCGTTACATTTAAAGACTTAACAGTTTTATCTTCACACGCAGTGCCAAACCTCTGGTCTGTACTCCTCGTTAC